TGAGAATTTGCCTGCTAAGTTTCTGTCTCTTTCGCAGGATTTATTCTTTATTGAAATGTGCATATTAATTCCAGTCTGGCAAATACTTTTCAACCTGTGTCTTAAGCTCATCATTCTCTCACAAACGAGTATGAAGATATCCAACAGGGAAATTGAGACTGCAAGAAACAACCAAATGGGAATTTTGGAAATGAAAAAATAAAACCATTCAACTAAATGTAAAGCAATGTGGGAAAGATCACCAAAAGACCAGCCCAATCTGCAAACCATTACTGTGATGTACATCTTATAAACATACAGAAGAATTCCAGAGGTCCAATGGACATACAGATTTCAAATATACCATTGCCTTTTGAATAATGCTGATCTCCTCTTAACAAATTTAAAATGTTCATAAATAGTAATACATATATACATACCTAATATAATATATTTAGGTCAGTGATGTATATGAATTAATTTAGTGTTGGCTAAAATTGTTCTTCATTTCAATATATCTAACAAACTATATAGTTTAGAAACTAATTTCCTGAGCCTCACCATTATACATGAAATATCTGACAATATCCAGGAAATACTTTTGGTCACAACCAGTGTGTGGTGTTGGGGTGAAAATTATTGGCATGGACTGGGCAGGGACCAAGTATGCTATTTATTTTTTACCACATAGGACAACACCAGGAGATATATCCAGTTCAAAAGCCAATGGTATCAATGAGAAAACTGATTGATCTCAATAAGGTTTGGAAGAGAGGAAGAGGATGTAACACTTAGGAGCTTCTTTTTGTATGTCTAGCACACAATGTAAATCATCTCATTTAATAATATAATGCAGTATAAGATAACTCTTTTATTTAACATCTTCAACAGTGATAAAATTGAATGCACAGAATTACATATGCTAGCCAAGTATTCTAAGACTGATCTACAACCTATTTTATAAGGTTATTTTATAAATGTACAAGAGAAGAGTCCGATGCAATTCTATATAAACAAGGCTTAGGGATGTTTAGAGCTTCATACTTAGGTGGTAGGAAAGCCTGGTTTTAAAATCACATGGTCTTGAATGCCTATTACTATTCTTTCAATTTCTTTCTATCACATTTTTTTGAACCTTTTACAATTTTAACAGGATCTTAAAGAAAAATGCTCAGGGCAGGCAAGCTGGTAATCTTGGCAGCTGCTTTGAGGAAGTAAATGGTGGGTAGAAGGAAAGACATTTTATGGACAGTGTTAACCCTTGGTAATGATGTTTCTTACTTCAATAATAAGGGACAAATGTCAAGAGAACATGTCCCTGGACATTCCTCCAGTAGAGTTGCAGAAAGCAAAATGAGGAAAATGACAAAGGGGAGCACACAAAACTTTGTTCTGAGAACTGTGTACTCCCGCTGGGAAATTAAGTAGAACTTTGAATCTTAAAAGATCCGATGTTAGTTCTATGGCACTGAATGTAAACAAAAGCTCAGTGATTTCTACCCTCCAGGGGTTCAAGCAATATGAGAGTAAGTCATAAAGAAGAGGATAATTTTCAGTGCTTCTAATGCATCTTCTCATAACTCTTGTCCTTGAGATACTTTCTCTCATTTGAGTGAGGCAAAGTTATAGACATTCATGCAAGATTATTATTTTCTTTCCTGTATGCAAAAATAGATTTATGGAGAAATTCTTTAATAGAGATCATGTCCATTTTCACTTGTACCTCTGCAAGAAAGACACACATATTCTGCTGGTGGCAGTTAACACCAGCAAGTATTAACTTTGACTCTCTCAGAACAGTGAACAGGAAGACATGAGCTTCAGTATCAGGGAATGCTGAGGGCAAAAAAGGTGAGTACTGGTTAGTCTTTGCCTTGACAATTTCCTTTAAAACCCACAGCTATATGAGTCAGGAGTCCTAGAGAAAGCCAAATATGTATTACTCTTTTCAACTTTTAGTAAAGCCTAGAAAAAGACATGACTTAATGTACACATATTTGTAGTTCAATCATGATATTGTCTGGATAGACCCAACTCTCATGGATGAGGAGAAAGGGCTAATGGGGATTCCTCAAGAACCCACATGGACAGTAGTGCTCTTTGGATCCCTCGTTAAGTGGTCACTGTATCTCAAAGTTAGAAACTAGTCTCTCTGACTTTCTCTGTGGATTCAAAAATGTCAATATCACATTGTCCCCTTATTTCAACAGATGGCATCCATAAAGCCAATGGTTATGGAAAACGGTTCTTCTGTGTCTGAGTTCATTCTTACAGGATTGACAAAATTACCTGAGCTCCAGCTGCCGCTGTTTGCTCTCTTCTTGCTGAACTACACAGCCACTGTGATTGGAAACTTGACCATAATGAATCTCATTTGCCTGAATTCAAATCTGCACACCCCTATGTACTTTTTTATATTCAATTTGTCCTGCATTGATTTTTGTTATTCATTTGTCTTTACTCCCAAAATGCTGATGAGTTTTGTTTCAGAGAAGAACACCATCTCCTTCACAGGATGCATAACTCAGCTGTTTTTCTTTTGTTTCTTTGTCAACTCTGAGTGTTATGTGCTGACAACCATGGCCTATGATCGCTATGTAGCCATTTGTCAGCCCCTCCAGTACGCTTCTATCATGTCTCCTGGAACCTGTTGTCTGCTGATGTTTGGTTCATACTTGATGGGGTTTGCTGGTGCCATGATCCATACAGGGTTTATGACTAGGCTCAACTTTTGTGATTCCAACCTCATCAACCACTACATGTGTGACATCTTCCCCCTCCTCCAGCTCTCCTGCAGCAGCACCTATGTCAATGAGCTTGTGAGTTCTGCTGTGGTTGGTACAATTATCATTTTATCTAGTCTCATTATCCTAATCTCATATGCCATGATCCTTTCTAATGTCATTCAGAAGTCATCAGCTAAGGGCTGGTCCAAAGCTATGGGCACTTGTGGGTCTCATATCATAACGGTTGGTCTGTTCTATGGATCTGGACTGCTAGCTTACATCAAGCCATCATCTGCTAAGACTGTGGACCAGGGGAAATTTTTCTCAGTGTTTTACACTCTGATAGTGCCCATGCTGAATCCTCTCATCTACAGCCTCAGGAACAAGGATGTCAAACTTGCTGTGAGGCAAACCATGAAGAGAATCACAAACTGATTTAACCAGTAGTGCTCCCCGGCCGTCTCTATTGCTTTGTTGTGTCCTCCTCCTTCTTTGCCTTGTCATCACCTTCTTTCTGTTCTTTTGTCCTCTCATCTTTCTATCATCTTGACAAGATGTCTTAATCTATATTTTCTTCCTTCAATGCAGTGTAACCCTGTGTATGGCATTTTCTCTTACTTGAGGTATCTTCAGTTTCAGTGCAGCTGCAGCACAGTTTTCATTGAATATATTAGATCAACACCCTGTAATATTTATTGCAGTGCTTAGACCTATCTTGCTTTCTCTTGTATATCTTCTTGTGCATGTAAATCTATGCAGTTTTGTTTTACATAGATTGAATTTCTTTTGCTTTTCTGTGACAGTTTTTGAATGTATTTTCTCTTTATTTTTTTAAACCGAAATACATTAGAAGAGATAAGACATGACAGAAATATTGATAATGCCTAGCTGTCAACATTTCAAGATTATTTAAGGTTTTAAAATTTTTTCCCTTATTCTACATTTTTAGACACATCATCTGTAATGAAACTCTTTAGTTAAATAAGATTTTATTTTGCAACTGATTACTTCTGGGTGAGGGCAAGTTGGTTTTCTTTAAGAAAGTAACTATAGAGAGACTGACTAGACTCCAGTGGATGAACTTGCACCAAGGAATATCTGGATACAAAAGCTTGACCAGATAATCCTTAACATATATAACAGAATGCAGGAAATCCAGTGGGGGTGTGGCTGGGGAGGTGTCTGAATATAATTAAGATTTTTTAATAGGAAATGCAGAAAACTCAAGAAAATATTCATCAAAGTACAACAAACATAATTTATTTTTATGGCTACTTGAGGCTGCATTATCCATACCAACCAAATCTAGTTCTAGAATTGTGACAATACATTGATAAACTTATTTTTTCAGAAGAAATCTGAAATTGTTACTGTCTTCTCCAAGATATATGGAATGTGTCTGTGATAGTTTTTAAAATGGATTTACTCATGTTGCTGGCTACAGAACACAGAGTCAGTATAATGATTCAATTCTTTAATTTCCCCCATTGAATAAAATGGATAATTTTGTAAAAGCAATGTGAATGATTCTTCCAAAAAAAAACAGACTACAATTGATCTTAGGGCGTAGTGATGTAGTGCACGCAGGTTTTTGTTTCTGATTTTGATTACCAGGACCCAAAAGAGCATCTATACCCTTGTTGGTGTCTGTAGCTACATTGATATGTGTATCTGTAGCCTAGATGAAATATATTAGTTTGACTTTCTTAGGTCACACAGGTAGTGAGGCAGAGACTAGTTTCTTATGCATTATGCATCTGATGAAGAAATGGAAGGAAGGAAAACTGTGAAGACAGAGAATCTCCAGAGAGTTGTTTCACAATAAGTCCAAATGTAGAGGTTCTGTAGCAATATACTCAACTGTTTGAAATATAAATATCATTCTGTGTATTGTTTTGGAAACATTAACTTTGAATCTAATATGTTTTAGATTTTTAGAAATATTGATTATAGTATAGAGTGATAAATATAGTATTTACCTCCTTATATTTGTGGAAGCAGTTGACAGAATTTATTAGGTAATACCAGTCTATTGTTAATGTCCACACATTATTCAGATTTCTCTAGCTTTCACTATCCTTGTTTTTCAGTCTTCTCTCCATGTTACCACCTTGCACATACTGGTGATGTCTCCTTCGGGTCCACTTGACTTGAAACCTCTACTTTGTACATTTTATATGATCTTGACTTTGAGAAAGCTTCATAATACAAGTGGGGGCATAAGTGTTTTTGCTTTTTAGTCCAGGCTGGCTTTGAACTTACTATGTAGCTCAGACCAGACTTGAAGTCCAAGTAGTCCTGTTTGTAATCCTCTCTAGTGCTGTCATTACAGGCCCAAGCCACCACACCAGGCTTTAATGTCTGTTCCTAATATGAACTGTTTTTTCCCTAAAACTTAAAGCATATTGATAATACCTCATATATTCTTATCACTTGTTGCTTTAAGCATGCTTCTGTATATTCATTTCCTCCTCATTCTGGATTGCATTTTCTAACTTCTTTGCATGCTTATTTGAACTACACTGAATTCTGTTTCTTGTGATTCCAACAGAAATTTTGTCATGCTTTAAACTAAAATTATTCATTAATAAACTGAATATATTAGAAGAGGAATAGAGGTTCAAACTTGGCCATAATGATTGCTAATAGAAACTCAAATTCCTCTTACTATTTCGCAGGGCACAAAGGACAAAATCTTAATATTGAAGAGTTGAAATTCCTTCTTGTACCTGAATTATTATATTTTAAAATAAATAGGCATAATAAAGGTTTTCCCTCATTTATATATTTTATATTTTATTTAAGTATTTAAAATCATATCCATAATTAAGTACATAATGAAATCACACTGTATGAGCTCAGACATGAGGCTGTCTAGGGTAATGAAGAGGGCTAGTAGGCAGGGAACAGGGAAGAAAAGAAAAATGGGGCTGAATATGGTAAAACTACATGGCACAGTTGTATGACAATGTCTATGAAATTCATACTGCACATATGAATATATACTAAGAAAATTATATGTAAACAGATGCTGAGGATCATAAAAAAACTGCAACTCCTATACCTGTATTACAGTATTTATAGGTCTAGCTCAGTGGCATGGAACATATTTAATATGCCCAAGTCCATGCTTTTGATCTCTTACATTGCTAAGGAAAGGAGTCTTACAGATAACATACATTTGAGTCATTTTAAAATATACTTTGATAATCACTTTCTTTTAATTGGTATTATTACAGCATTTGTTGATTTTTAAGGTTGCTTTTAGATTACATTGATAGTTTTCTGTTTGTTCTGTAACTTTGTCCCATTTCCACATTAAAAAAAATTTTTTTTGGTCCTTTTGAGACAGGGTCTCCCTGTAGCCCCAGCTGGTCTGGAACTCACTATGTAGACCAGGCTAGTCTTGAAGGCACAGAGATCCCCCTGCCTTTGTCTCCTGAGTTCTGGAATTAAAGGTGTGTGCCACCACACCCAGCATTTTTTAACTTTCATGTGGATTATATTATGTTGCTCAGAACCCACTTTTGATTCCTCTATAGTGATTTGAAATGTTTCTTAGTATACTTTTAGTGGTTAGTTTAAGGTTTATACTATACACAGTAACTTACATAGTCTTTTAGTTTATATTTTAATAACTTCAGTTAAGTTTAGAAATCCTGCTTCTATTTACCTGCCTATTCTCTATATTTTAAATAATATTATTTTTTAAAAAAACATGACAACACAATGGACAGTAACAGGGATGACAGAGTATATGGGCTCGAATGGGGATAGGGCGAGGCTATGGGAGGGTGCCCTTTGGGATGTTGTTATAGAGATGAATAAGACTGCTTGGGATGTTCTGTATGAACACTAAAATGGCAGCTAACACCTGTCTGTAGCGTCAGTTCCAAGGGATCCAAAACCCACTTCTGACCTTTGCATTGGAAGACACAGGTATACTTACACATATGCAGACAATACATTCATATACATAAAATACAAATAATAAATAAAATTTTTCAAAAAAATTTTTTACTTTGTTTTAATTACAATACTCTTGTCCTAAACATATTGCTTTCTGAGTCTTTCTAATGTTTTCCAGCTCCAAGTATTCACCATACCAATAAAACTATACTTGATGTATGTCTTTCTGAGACCCAATACCACCTAAATGACATTTGACAATAATTAGAGAAAGTTCTTTAGGTCACACTGTTATATGTGTGGGGGGAGTGTGTGTGTATAAGGAATGTGTGTGGGTGAAGGGAGTGTGTGTGTAGGGCAGGAGGGTGTGTGTGGGGGGAGTGTATGTGTGGGAGGAGAGTGTGTGTGTGGGGAGAATGTTGCGGGGGAGGGTGCGTGTGTGGGAAGATGGGGGAGGAGAGAGAGTGGGTGTGTGGGTGTTAGAAAAGAAGGCAGTACTGGCATGCAATAGACAAAGCATGGGTACCATGAACCACATACAACTCAGGACTTCACCACCACAAAACTTAGCTTTCCCAAATGCTGACTTACATGACAAAGAATATGGAGGAGGGAGCAGGATACTAACACCTACCACCCTCTTTATCTGTGAAGCTCCCTTCCAATACATTCAGTCAGCCAAGTTATTTAATTCCAACAATACAATGAGCTCTCACTTTATTTCATTACTTGTCTTCTTTCTCTGTGGTGCTGGAATGGAAAATCTGGGTGTTGTGCATGTTAGGCAGGAGCACTACCACCTCCCACACCTCAGCCTTATTTGGTGATCCCCGTTTTGCAGATATACAAAGGAATATGCAGATAGAAATGTAAGAGGCAGGCAGAGAAGTTACATCACTTGTTTCTAGTCTCACAGGTAGGAGTTAAAGATTGCAGATTTAAGTCAAGACTGACTTGTATACATATCTCTAGCCTCTCTTCTACTTTGGCAGAACAACTCTTTTGCACAGTCTTAAATCTATGACCTTAAATTTGTTAATGCAATCCAAAGGCCTTGTAGAAATTACTAAAAATGGCCACTGAGTATCTCCCTGGACTTTCCTCTTGTAGACCAGCATAGGGTATAATGAGAAGAATTCCAAAGGGACCATAGGATACTGTGCTCTGGTTACTACATAGTCCTGAGGGGAAATTAAAACCTGAGCAGATCATTGAGCCTAAAAAGATATAAAATAAGGTATATGGTACATGATGTAAACATAGACTCTAATTTCCACCCTCAAGGGACCTAAGAGGCCTGTAAGAAAATCCTAAAGAAATTGGTCTTCTGAAAACTTTTCCCAGTAATCAATAGCATAAAATAGATTCCCACTTGAGAGAAGTGCTGTTTGGAGGCTCATACAAAATTACTATTTTCTTTCGTGCAAGTGAATAAAGCTTCTGGAGAAATTCTCAGGCAGAAATCATGTCACAGTCGCCAGTGTACAGCTTTTAGAAAGTCAGAGCCAGATTTGCACTGATGGATA